TGGCATCAACTTGGAGGAAGCGCAACAAAGATTGTCAATGGGGAAGATCCAAACAGGGGTGGTGTCGTACCTTACTACGGTCTACCACCATTGTCGAACAACAGCGCCATTTTCGTTGTTCCGGACGGCCTCAGTAGCGGCTGGGCCAACAGTGGAGGTGAAGATGTTACCTTCTTCGACACCATGGTAAAGACAATCGAGGCAGATCTCTGCGTAGATACCTCACTCCGGTTTTCTACTGGCTTCAGCTATGGTGGTGCCATGTCCTATGCTCTCGCGTGTGCTCGACCAAAAGATATCCGCGCCGTCGCTGTTATTTCTGGCTCATTGCTAAGTGGTTGTTCTGGAGGGAAGGATCCAGTCGCATATTACGGACAGCATGGTACTGCAGATTCAGTTCTCAATGTTTCTGGCGGTCGTTCCATTCGTGACACGTTCGTCAGAAATAATGGATGCACTCCGCTTTCCCCCGAGCCGCAGCCAAATGGAGGCAATTCTGTCAAGACTGTCTATAAGGGCTGCAAGGAAGGATATCCAATGACTTGGGTGATTCATAATGGAGACCACAATCCATCCCAGAAGAACAGTGGCGCATCTGCTCCTTTCGCTCCCGAGAACACTTGGGAGTTCTTCTCGCAGTTCAAGTCGATTGCGTAAAGTCTCGCTGGGTGGCTACTATGCTTTCGATCCAACAGTGGCTGGTGTGGTTGGTGAAGGAAGCAAATATAGTCAATGTGTGCCCTATAAGCTGTACTTAGTTTGCCAAATTAAAACGCTGTTGCCTGCTTCTCTCCGGCATCTTGCGAGGCATCGTAAGCGATAGGACTTTTTTTTAGTTCAAAAACTCGAGCACCCCTACTTAAAACAACCATATGGTCTGGAAGTGCATCAACCCTATCATTTGGCTTTCACCTTCTTGGCTCTGTGACTCTGTGACCCCGTAGGGTCCATTCTAGCCAATTTCCTAGTACCAGAGCTAAACTAATACATCTAGACAATACATATACTCTTAAAAGAGAGCTATAGTTAAAGTTGGCAACGACAAACTTAAAGTTAAAGTTAAAAGTTGGCAGCATTAAGTCGAGCTTAAATGTTTCTTATAATTCCGGAATCGGAAAGTGTAATCTTGTTAAAGTAATTAATATTGGGAGTCGATATGCCCAGAGCCAACGACGAAAGTCCTCTTGCTGCACAAGTCAGTACCTAGACCATTCAGCTCGCTAATAGTACAGTTGCGCACAGCAGAGATAGGTCTGCGGCAGTTCCTGTTTCTCAGGAAGGTGCCGGATGTGGATGATGACACGTGTGAGTGCAGAAGGGGCTCACAAACCGTACGTCATATCCTTTTCTCCAGCCCCCTTTATCGTGAATTACGGCGGGAATTTTCATTGATCTTTATGGAGTAATTAATTATTAAGAGTAGATTTTGATTTAGGCTCGTTACACCCAACCGATCACGACAAAACCTCAGACACTCCGCAGAATAGTGGTGGTCGAAAGTGCTTACTAATCAAGCTCTAATTGGCCACCCTCATTCGTAAAGCTGGAGCGGAGGATTTATGAGATAAGGACGTTGATTGGTTTTCAGTGTTCTACCCTGAGGATTGTTTTGAAGTGCGGGCTAAGGTCGCTGTCAAGGAGGCCATTCCCGCCGACGCAGGAACAAGATTACAACTAAACAGGTGCAGAAATTCAGACCTCGCGTAGTTTCAACTGCAGACCAGTCCGTCCCTGACACAAAATTAAGCTTACATCTCGAATCATTAGATCTCCCCCTTGCAGGGCTCTCCAGTGGCACGCAAAATATTCGGGGAGATTCCCATCCCATCGATGCCCTGTCCGGGTGTCAGATCCTCGGTTGGCGCATCCGACCCCTGGCCAATCGCGACTTCAGACGAGATCTCCAACGCTGTGAGTTTCAACATCCTCCCATTCGCGCGCTTTGGGACGAACATGATCACCGTGAGCGGGAAAACATGGGAGAACAGAACGGACGCTTCGGGATGCCAGGGAGGATCGTGAGTGAGCCATGAAACTTTATAGAAACGTCCTAAGCTGTTGCTTCTTGCTCCTTTACCGCGCAGCATGCCAGCTTCGGCCCTTTGTCTGGGGGCATGGCGAGTATATAGCTCGGAGTGCCAGGACATAAATTAAGCTCCTCTTTTTGTTTCTGCATCGCAAGCATCTGCATCAACTTCGATTCTATCACTCCTTTCAGTGCTTTTCCTATATTCGACTGCTGCGCAGCTTACATTCCTTTGCCAAGAGCATTTACTTCATTTCCATTTTTCAAACATGATTGCCTCAGTCTCCCTTCTTCTCACTTCGGCGGCACTCTCCTTTGCCTCTCCCTTGGAGAGACGGGTTGTTACTTCTTTGAACCAAGCTGCTTTCGAGGAAGCTCAACAAAGAGATGATACAGCTTCACGAGCTTTCTCTGGCACTGAGATCAAGGTAAATGCACAGCTTTATGGATAGAAAGCCTTTGACTAACAAACTCTAGACTTCGGATGGAAAATGTTTATTCGTCGATGAGCTTTCGGGGGATTTCCGCGCAAATCTAAATCCCATTCAAGTTGCGACCTGCGATGGTAGCACGGGTCAGAAGTGGGACATTATCACAGCTGGAAAGCACAATGATCAAGCTGACACTATACTTCTTGTCAACACACTGGTATGCTCTCCATCCACATTTCTCGTACCAGGCTAATTTGCTTAGACCCAAGCATGTGCGAACTTCGATCCCAGACGCGCGGCTGGCAACACTGTCATCATGTTTTCTTGTGGCGGAAGAGCTGATGGAGGTAAGCTAATCCTCTCGCTCACACTTTCTCGTCTAATAATCACAGGTGGCGATGTTACCAATTCACAACTTTTCGGCTTCGCTGGTGGTGCAGGTCCATTGTCGTTTGAGCCTCAGAACGAGGCAGGGACTTGTCTTGCTGTCACAGGAAACAATGTTCTCGACCAAGCTCCATGTGAAGCAGGAAATGCCGCTCAGTCATTCACTTTCGGAGGCGCTTCAACAGGAGGACAAGACGATGCGTCAGCTTCGCAGCCAGCAACAGTCGTTTCTACCACTGCAGGATCTATCCAAGCGTCAACTCCGGAAGCTGCTCCTCCAGCAGCCAGCTCCGGATGTACTCTCACCACAGTCATTACCTTGATTCGTCCCGACGCAAGTGTAGCTCCAGTGATTGACAGTGCCGTCTCAACAATCGCATCAGAGACAGCCTCTGCACCACAAGGCACATCTCCCGCAGCAGTAGGAGATATCCCCTCAGCCAACCCGACAACACCTGTCCCAGTTTCACGCGCGGGGGGAACACTCAACCCTACCTCAGCAGCAGAATCTCACCAACGCGACGATACCGCAACCCGAGCCTTCGCATCCGTATCCCTCAAATCCGCCAACGGACAATGCCTCTTCATCGACCCCACAGCAGGCGACTTCCGCCAAAATCTCATCCCCATTGCCGTACAGCCTTGTACCGGAAGCGCAAACGAGAAGTTCGATCTCATCACTCAAGGGAAACACAACAATGCCGAAGGCGCAACATTAGTAGTCAGTTCATTGATGCAAGGATGTCTGAGTTTCGATGCGAGAAGAGCAGCTGGTGATACGGCGCATATCTTTTCTTGTGGTGGGAGAGCTGATGGCGAGGGCGAGACGACGAACTCGCAATTGTTTGATTTTGCGGGTGGGAATACTATTACACTGGCGCCCCAGAATGGGGACGGGCAGGTTTGCCTGGTTCCTAATGGGGCGAAATTGGATCAGGCGACTTGTTCTGGGGCGGCGGATGTTTATTCTATCGTTCAGTGAATTTCGTATGGGAGGGTCAAAAGATGGAGTCACTCATTTGGGGGAAATGCTGGGAAAATTTGGACATTCGCTTCTTGATGTATTTTTATGGGAGCAGGTGGATGCAGACGAGCTTCGATTCTTGTGTGGAGGATTTATGATTAGAAATGTAGAGGTTATTGTATCAATACCATTTTAAACAAGTAATCAAGAATCCTTCTTATTGCTTGTAAAGCACTTTAATTTTTGATTCGATCGTTTTCACAAGGTGGGAAAAAGCTCAGCTCACTCACTCAACATACCACATCTGTTGCTGCTACCCGGCAACAGGCTATCATTAATTCGATCAAAATGTAGTTCTTCGCGCAGACGTCCAAGTCCCATATGAATACAACCAATACAAAGCTCTCCTTTGAGTCATAGGGATATGTTTAGCAAAGTCCAGGTCGATGTTCTTGCCATTCGATTGGCAATTGAACCCCCACCCTTCTCCCCCCAAAAACTCGCAGCCTGGCGCACCTCGCTAGACAGCCTGAAAATTGGAGGGCGCTTGCAGATGCATATTGAAGCCTTCGGCAACATAGTTGTCAATCTCTGCGCAGGGATACCACCTCAATGACACTTCAGCAAGTTTCGCATCAAATTTACAGTATGACAATGCGATAGCAGGTGTCTCCGCAACAGTTATCCAGAAGACTTGGATACCCCACGCGGTAGGAGATAAGCGAGATGTCAATACAAATGGAGCCAAACGCCTCACAGCAGGCGTTAGACTTGATTGTAAGAAGTGAGACGACTCTTGTAAATTCATTGATCGTTTCGGTGAAGATTCGTGACAAATCTGTGGCTTAGTAGGTCGCCGAGATCATGACTTTCCACGTACCCATCAGCGTCCCCCAACCATCATCCTCGCTAACGAGTAACCCTGAAATTGCTAATCGGCTCGCTGTAAGCATCATCTTTGGCCTGCAGCAGCACACCAAAATGAGTAGTCAAACTCCCCGCTAGATCATAAGGTGCAGAAGGAGCTTCAATGGCGGGTACTAAAACGAATTGAAGTTATCGGTTAGTTTGCTTGTTGAAAAATTTGCAAAGCTCGGCTAGCCAAAAATTTCCTTCGGCCTTCATAACCCACAATGCCAGAATATGTACAGCGCAACAACAAAAAGGCAAAATGAAGGCCCAGGCATGTTAATGCCCACAGACGGAATCGAACCGGCAACCTCGTCATTACTAGTGACGCGCTCTACCACTGTGAATTTGTTAGTGATCAAGCTTCTTGAATCCAGTACCAGACGGGGTGACATACTTGAGCTATGCGGGCCGTTGTAACATACTGTGTTCAACACATGTTGTGTCGTCGTTTTTCTTATTTCAATAATTACGAGAGTAAAAATTTTGTGTGGGTTTGTGAAAGCCCTAGGGCTGATCTTCGCTGAAACAGGGAAGGTAGGCGATGTCGGGAAGGAATTGTGGAACTGAGCTCAAAATAGCTCTTGCTCTTGACAACACCTCAATTACCAAGAGTACCTCGCTGGATTCTTAGTATTTTATTGTGCAAAGAGCTTTCGACACTTGGAGGTTTTAATTGTGTATTTTCAACTCCTACACGTGAATTCCAGCTTCACAGCGATTATTGAGGGTCGCTTTGTACAGGTGGTCGAGTGGAGTCGGAGTTCCTGATCATATTGTTCCTTGTACTGTCTCTGTCTCTATTCACTCGAATCATGTGTGCAATCTGGGCAAAAGAAACCTTCCTATTACTTCTTATATGGTCGTTCCGTTTGTCGATTTCCAAACGCAAGCTTCTGGAGCGCTCAGTATTGTTTCTCGGCGGGTAGTAGTCTTAAGTCTAGGGCTCATCTCATGGGCCTTACGGTGCGCACCAAGACTTGGCGACACTTTCTGGGAACCCTTCGCCGGAGAAGTTCTCCTCGGTGCACAAAAGACATCGTGTGTTTTGCTGTTTGAGACAATTATTACAGTATGTTGTGTGAAAGACGGGAAGGGCTGAACGCATGACCCTGGCGAGTCTGGTGGCTTGAGATAGGCGTCGTGCCACTGAAGTCATGCCGTTGTTCTGGATAACGAATCTCTCAAATAATTTCTTGGTGAATACGAACTTATCGTGTCATGGAACTTGGACCCTCTGAGTTTGAAGAGTATATTTTACGAGTCAGTGAGCCAATATTGTCTCCCAAGGTTGAGACGATATTATGTTGGGCTTCAGCGTTATTCTACACTTTCACCCCATCCAACCGAGGATCTCAGGGAAGTCGTCATTAATCTAGCGTCAATGTTTGGAACGAGCTGAAGAGCCCAAAAGATCGTGATATCAACGAACCCCCGGTCTTTGCCCGGCCGCCTTCATTTCTGGTCATACCGTTCAGCAGATATCAGATCATTTCCCCCGCTTTTAAATCCCTCAATTCAACATTGTGTTCAAGCTGAACGGCCAGAAAGTTGACATGTTTTGTTCTTTTGCATGATCAAGGTTCTTAGCCCTGTCAAAATTCACAGCCCATGCTCGCAAAAGGCAACAACGCTAATGCTTCCTCACATCTTCATCGCCCACTCGGCAGCTTCTAAAGGAATCCGCTTCATCACATTTTTTGTTCGGTGTGAGGCAGACTTCTGCCCTCGTGTGAACAAAGTGGCTATCTCATTTGTGCGATTTCGAGTCGATAGTCAGTTACGAAATGCCAGGTCTGGCTAGATCAACTGCTCGAGCACGAGCACGGGATATGATTCGAACAGGGCATTGCTGATTCATATCGACACAAGGCGACGCGTCAGCGTCACTTCATATCTGTGTGTCTCGTCGTCAACCATGCCGATGTTTCTGACTCCATTGCCATCTGCAACTCTTCGGACATGTCTGACAGCGTGTTCGTGTTTTCTCATTATGTGTAAATACTACCAAATTGCCACGATATGTCAGAACTTCCCTGCATATTCTGAAGCGTTTGGAAGCTAGAGAGAGGCAGAGCTTGAGATCGCGCCATTTCGGCCTAGGATTCGGAAGTGGTCAAGCAACAATGGGACTTGCCGATGGCCCCCAAAGGGAATCAGCACTGTCCGCCTATTCCACAAAAGCCTAATCACATTTTCTCTGTGTCGGTGTAGTACCGGTATATAGTATCACAAAGTGTCGATATATCGAGTTCTCAATGATGGGTTGTAAAATCTGTGTATTTCTAAGAGAGTGTGAGAGGAGAGGGTAGAAATACCCCTCCGGCACGCTACCGACTCGGCCCTGTAAGGGGTCCGGCCCCCTGTTCAAGGCCGAACCCTCCCCCGATAGGCCCTGCGGACCAACACTCTGCGATTGAGCTCCTCCAGGATTCTGTGGTATAAGTTTCCGTCTGACCTAGGAAGACTTACTGTTTTCAGAGACTACCTCGGATCTTCACGGGACTGGTGAGATTCGATCGAGCAATTGCCACCACTCATTCTTCTACTAGCAGGAGAACCCAAGACAGTGACAAGAATAGTCTTATTCGCATTAAGCTAACTGCAAAAGCAACTCGCAAGAACTTCTGGTCACGCTGCCAAAGGTTGCACTGTAAGCCTTGCCAATATCCAATTATCGTCATGGTGCCTCCGTAGCCTCCCTACAATACTATAATTCGCAAACATAATAAAGAAGAGAGTCCGCACTACATTTACTCCGAGCGGCTCAAATCCAAGCGTCATCACAATCACTCGCAACACGACTAGGACAGCTGCTGGGCTTCTATGCAAGAAGCGCAAAGATTATCACAATTCTTAAGTCCAACGGCTTCATATCCAGCGTCGCAAGTGATCATGCCTCGATAAGTATGGGTACATGATCAGTACAAACCCTATCATCTCATCTACTTCGGACTATCTGCAAGCCCTCGAGATCCCAAAGAACAACCCGGTCCTTGTCGAAGCTATTCAGCAGCTCCAGAAATTCTCATACAAATCAAGCAATCATATTAGAACCTCGCAAGAGCCCTCAAGTCCTCAAAAACTACTAAATCCTCGTTAAGGCTACTCAGCAGCTCAAAAAAAAAATACTATCAAAGCCAAAAGACGCTCATGTTATTGCATCAAAGATTTTATCCTGCCTGAGCATTAAAAAATATAATTTTGCTCTCTTGTGCGACCTCCTATACGCCCACCATCATTAGAGAAGATCGTTTTGAATATTTAGACGACACCAAGGAGGAAACGTTCTGTCGATGGCTCACTTACTTTGTGTCTGAATGGCGGGATCGAAGAGATGTTCTCAGTAGTTGCGAGAAGTTTTACAAGGTTTGTCAATCTCAAATATGTAATAGCCGTATGAAGTTGACGTCGCCTATATTAGAAGCTCATTAAATGTATCCATAAAACGGAAAAGATGGCGATCAGAGGTAAGTCTGAACGTGTGATTCAGTGGGATCTGATAAATATGAGAGTGATAATCGATAAGGCAATACAAAGTGAACTAAGCTGGAGTGTGTCTAAATTATGTAAGTAATGTAAAGGGGATCATTTCAATCTTGCTTTTATCTCTCTTATCAATCTCGGCTGGTAAGACATGACGGAACTATATACGACATTTGGATTCTTCCTGCGGTGATATCCTTTGCCGGGGCAAGTAATGCTGTCCTGGTTTCACTAGAAATGAGGGCATCCAAACCACAGATTCCTGTGGATCACTATACTTGCCTCAAACAGTTGTGCTATATAGTCTTGCCCTCTTCTGCCACGTCTCCCTCCTTGACTGGTTGTGCTGGTTACCGATAATGATTGTGATTGAGGTGGTCATAGATATTGCGGATCTCTTCCATGTCGGAGCAGTGAGCGAAGGTCGATGCAACTGGTAGGTTCAATACGGCCGACAAATTCCGGGAGATGTCCAAAGATCTTTATGGCAGCCGCTTCGATTCTCTCGATTGGAGGCTCGGAATTGCGCAACTTGAGGCTGTTGCCATGCCGCTCACTCCTCTGCCAAAGACAAAGACAGAGTCATCTGCTATACAGTCCGACATGATTAAGGAAAGGGTGAATTTGGGATCTGCAGAAGGGATATTACACTGGACCATCCTTAACGAAGTCAGAAAGCGGAGAGCCAATAGTAAAGGTGGAAGAAAGTAAATTAAGAGAATCCTATGATACAAGGAAAATCCTTCCCTAGATCGAAGACCTTCGAGGGTTACGAGCCTAATTTCGTGAAGTCTGTGTATTATAGGATGTTTAGCGAAGGATTTTCATCGTTAATAAGTATCAAATTACCTAATCAATTAGGAGTAGACAACCCATGGCCTTCCAGTACTTGAACCCAATGATCTTGCTTGTCTATTAGTGATCCATTCCCCTGTCACTGCAGTTCGCATTTCCTCTTCATTTGCCGGTAGGTGCTTTCCACGGGGTAAACGTTGCTTGATCCATTTCCAACACTTCTCAATCAGATTCATATCAGGTGTATTACATGGATGAGGCACAATGTGATTATATGAGCTGATCTGTACCTTCCACAACAATATGTATTCGATTTATGGCCGTGAGCTGGGTTCAGTAAGAACGCAGTCCTCATCATAGATGCAAACTGGCTAGAAGATCTGATAGAAGGCAATGGGGATCTTCAAAGAAGGCTCGATCAAATGGAAGGCAGGTAATATCGAAATGGAACTCGGATTTGGGAAAGGAACCGTCACCAACGAAATGGCATGTAATGAGGCTGAGGTTGGGCTCACACCAACTACACTAACTCGACCAAAAGATCCCACTATTCAGCGCAGCTGAATATGCCTAACTCATATCATTACATGGCATCTATGGAGTATTCTGGGTTCAACGGCAAACCAAAACCACATGTCCTATCGCTTTGACAATCTCGTCTACATGTTCGATAACCTGGGGTTGACCAACCTTTGACCTTCATACGACCTTAGCATACATGCCCCGTAAAAGGTTCCGTTCATCCTGCTCCTTACTGCCCGTATTCCATGCTGGATATTCCCCATTCCACTGGGAGCTGAACAGCAGAGGTTCTGGTGCACCAAAGAAACGGTGCTGTACGTGGTTGGAAAGAATCTCTGAGCCATACGAATGCTGTTGTATGTAGATGGTGTTTGGATAACTTGTTTGAAATATTGATATGACTTGAAATCGGCAATGGGGCCAGGATTTTTGTTGGATTCATAAGCCTGTGGATTGGTGTATTGCAGCATCGGAGGGTATAATGGTACTTGGAAGATACCTCGGTTCGCTATGTTGTGATTGCCATGCAAACCCCCAGATTCAGTGGTCAATCCAAAATTGCTGTAAAATCCAGAAGGTATTGCATTTGAGATGCACGGTGTAAGGGGT